TTCTTTTTTTTTTTTTTGGTGCCAGGGATTGAACTCAGGACCTTGCACTTTCAAGACAGGCAGCAGAACCACCGAGCTAAATCCCTGGCCCCAGTTTTCATTTTTTATGGTGTCTCTAATCTATTATGTAAAATGTATAGGTGTTGATGACTGTAACTACACTGGCTAGCCTCTGTCTCTGGGATGGATTCAGAAAGGAAGTCCCTGCCCAGTAGGCTCTGGCCTCCCTCATATTCTTTTTCCTCTCTGGTTGGACAGGGGCGGCCATGTGTTGTTTTCATTTTGTTTTTTGAGACAAGGTCTCCCCGTGTAGTCCAGGCTAGTCTAGAACATGCAGCAATCCTCCTGCCTCAGCCTCCAAAGTATGTGTGAGGACACCACACCCAACTATGCAGATAGCCTTTTGCAACCAGGTAGTTGAAACCAGAACAGAACAGTTTCTACATATTCCACAGAAACTAACAGGGACTTCTGGGGGAGTGAGGCTGGCTTTGTCCAATCCATACAGATTCATCCCAGTTGAGGGAGTGGGAGCAAGAGAAGCAGCCTTGGGGCTATTTGGGAAAGAAATGTGCTTCCAAAGTCTCTTTTCTGGAGCATGCAGCACTAGCCAGATGCTCCTGGAAGCAGGATTCCTGTCTACCAAAGTGGAGAGACCCTGAATACTGCCTCTGCCTCTACTCTAACAAGATTCTTTAAACTATTTTACCTTGATTCATTCTTAGCAAAATATAAGTTGGATAACGCGTTACATTTTAAAAAATATACATTAAAGTATCTTTTTTGGGGGGAGGGGGAGGCCTTGCACTTGTAAGGCAGGCGGCAGAACCACTGAGCTAAATCCCTGGCCCTTTTTTTTTTTTTTTAAAAGTGCTGGGATCAAACCCAGGGCCTTGCATGGGCTAAAAGTCTGATTACCACTGAACTGTACCCCTAGCCCAGATATATAATTTTTACAACTAAAAGGACATTCATCTTTTACTCTCTCCTCTCTGTGGAAGTGTGCCAACCATGCTTCAGAAAACACTGGGCTGACCCTTGCTCCCGTATTCTCAAGCCCTGGCACTGGAATTTAGCTCAGTGGTTCAGACTGGGAACATATGTTCCCAGGTACATAAAGCATGAGGTCCTGAGTTCCATGCCCAGTATCAAAAACAAACAAACAAAACAACATCCTCCTGCCTCAGCCTCCTAGAATGCTGAGACCACAGGTGTGTGCCACCATGCCCAGCTTGGCTTTTTTTTCTTCCTTAAATGGTGCTGGGGATTAAACCATGGGTTCACACATGTCAGACAAACACTCAACAACTGAGCTACAGCCCAGCATAGCAACTATTTTTGATACCAGACCACCATATTTAGGCCTGGGATATGCTAGTGGAAGCCTGTTATTGACTGTGTTTTTAAAGATAAACCCTTTGCACCTACTCAATCAAGTTTCAGGGTTGCTTTCCTGTTCACTCAGCTCGTTTTTATGGTGCCAGGGATTGACCCCAGGGCCTCTCTCCTGCTGGGCAAGCGCTCCAGCACGGAGTGACATCTCTGCCCCTCAGCCCACCACTGAAAGAATTTTCTCCCATTAGGATTCTCAGCTTAAACATTGAGGAGCTGCTGCAGCCTTTCACTGTGTAGCTGTGCGAGTCCTTGATCAGCATTAATCCCAGAGAACACACACAGCCCTTTTCCTGCGCTGCACTCTGCTCCAAGGGTCTGTTCTCCTTACAGGTCCTAACAGTTAAGTTCTAGAGCCTATCAGTTAAGAGACAGACTTGGGCATGGACAGATTAAGTAAATCATTCAAGGTCAGCTAGTGAGCTGTGCAGCTGGGATCTGAACCCAAACAGCCTAAGTCCATAGTCTGTACTCTGTTGGAAGCCATCTCCACTGCTGCCAGGGTCCATAAACCTCGGAAGTGCCACTGAACCCTCTACTCCCTGTTCTGTGGACCCAAATGTTCCATGGTAATAACTATTTGCTTGGTCCAGGTTCAATTCCCAGGATTTGTATCCAGCCCAGCCTGTTCTTGTGAGCCACGTGTGAGAAAGGGGGACGGATGATGATGGGCAGGACCAACAGTCGAGGGAGATGGGGTGCTTCTCTGAGATTAGCCCCTTGGTAGAGGATTCTCCTAAAGGCCTGGCCATGTGCACAGGTGTCTGTCACTGTCAGAAAAAGCTGTTTGTTGGTTAGAAAAATAGTAAGAGCATGGAAAACTGTTCAGAGGAAAGTGCACTGTTACCACAAGAATGACACCTAGGAGACATAAATTTGAGTACTAAAGGTCTTTGAACTCTACACCCGGTGAGGTTTAGACACCTGATAGCAGGTCCAGGGAGGTAAGTGCAGACCTACAGACAATTCTGTGACCACAGCATATGGCTTGTGTCTTGTGTATGCAGTATGCGTGTGATACACATGCACGCTGGGGATTGAGCCCCATCCTCCTGCCTCTGCCTCCCAGAGTGCTGGGATTACAGGAGTGTGCCATCATGCCTCATTAGTTTAACCTGTGTGTTGCCTGTTCACACTTATTGATAGAGCAAGGTTTAAATCTACCATTTTGCTATTCTGTGACAACAGATTAAGTTAAATTTCAGCCAGAATTTACACTTCATCTTTGCCCACTCCTTGTTTCTGTTTCCTAACACACAGTAGGCTGCTCAGGTGGCAGAAGGGGTCATGGGTTTCATGTTGCCCCTTAGGAAGGATGGGAGGAGCTGGATCTCATCAGGTACAATACCATGGCTGTTGTTACATATTAGGGGTCTGTGAAAGATGTATACTAAGTTCTGTGACTGACAATCTGTGAAGGCCACCAGATAGTAAGATTTCTAATCTCATCTGTGACTTTCAGACAAACAACTAAGGCTGATCACTCCTTAACTAGGTCCTAGGCAATGCTCCAGCTCTGGACAACTTAAGAGCTGAAAATAACTAAGTCTTCCCTGGCCTCAGAAACTGGGAGAACAGCTGAGTCTTGAACAAGCTAAAATGGGAAAGGGCAGAGGTGATGCTGAGGAATCTCGTGCAAGTCTCAGCCTGGAGACGGCAAATCTAAGTTTAAAACAGGCAGCTTTCCACTGCAGGGTGCCGTCAGCTCCAGACACAGCGCATGCGCCAACAGGACATGGCTATCTATACTAAGCCCTCAACCCGATGTGCAGGATACTTCTCTAGGGATTGATGTTCGAACACTGTTCTGTTCTGAATACTACACGGTACCTACTGGTTTATAGTATAAGTCCAAAGCAGTCGAACACTACTGACTCTAGGCTTCCTTCCAGAACAAACTCTTTCTCCTAAGGCAAGACAGGTTTTCATCTTACACTGGACACCCTGCTGGCCAACGTGTCCTATTAGGCAGACAAGCCCCTCACATGGTTTGCACACCATTTAGCTCAGTGGTGCCACCACCAGTCCCAAGTTTGAGGCCCAGTACAAAAAAAAAAAAAAAATGCAGGAGGAATGAGTCGGGGAAAGGGGAAAACCAGGGAATGGAAACCTGGGTTTGAAAGTAAAACCTCCATCTCCAGAGATCATGCCTCTAAGTGATCAGAGAAGCCTTAGCAGTTTTAAGGCAAGTGCCAGGTCTGCCACTTACTGGCTGTGAATTTGGGTGAATTAATTTCTCAATGTGTGTGTGGGGTGCTGGTATCTTATCTCATCCAGGGCCTTGCACTGCAGCCCTGTAAACCATTCCTAATCTGTAAAATCATCTCTGGTTGCTGAGCAAAATGACACACAGCAGCAGTTGTTTGGCACAATGCTGGTTTGTGCTGGCTCTGTAACCAACAGCTACAGCTATCCCTAGGATTTCCATTATGGGATGGTGGTGGGGGGGGACAGGGGGCCCAGGGGGTCAACACAGGTGCTGATGGTTTTGTTGTTGTCACTGCAGTAGTAGGAATTGAACCCAGGCCTGGTGCACACTAGGCAAACTGCTTTAACATGGAGCTACATCTCTAAACCTATATGTATATGTGTGTGTGTGTGTTTTTTTTTTTTTTTTTTTTTTTTTTTTTTTTTTTTTTTTTTGTGTGT